CGCCGGCAGGGCCCGCTCAGCACGCTCGGCAATCGATTAGAGGACAAGTGCCGCCGCTGCCGCCGCCGCCGCGTGCGCTCCGCGCCTCACGCGGGCGCGCGCCGCTCCCCCCCTCAGGGGGCAACCGCCGCGTCCCCGCCTCACACACACACACCCCCCCTCCATAACCCGGGCTACCCCACAAGTTCCCCCCCCCCGCCTTCTCCTCCTCCTCTCAGGAACGGCAGCCGCTGTGCCGTCGCCCCGGCGGCGGGTTGAAGTTGCCGGCGGAGTCATGATTCAGCACTTCTATTTTTAACCGCCGGGGCGGCCGCGGGCGCGCAGAGACCGCCGGTTCTCCGCGCCGCTTCCCCCCCCTCCTCCCGCCCGCCGCTTTCCTATGGGCTTTGCGCTAATTGCCGCCGCCGCCGCGGTGGGAGGCCGGGGGGGGTAGGGGGACAGCAGCCGGAGGACGGCGTCAAACCGAAGGGGAAGGGTGCGGAGCTGCCGTGCTTGTTATCTAATTGGAGATTCAAAGTACGTATGAGGTAATTTCTTTCCCTTTCTGTAAGTGTTTCGCTTAGAGAGAAAGGCTGGTTAAATTAAATGCCTTTCCGCGCTGTTCCCCCCGCCCCTTCTTCTGAGAGGTCAGTGTGGTGGGGAAAGGGGGTAAAAATAGCATTATTCTCCTGAGGCAAACCCATGCCAAGGCTGAAGTAACACCTCCCAGTGCCACAGTCCCACCTCGGGCCCTGACCCAAACCCACCCCAACCAGTTGGCACATCTACAGCAAGGCAGTGCCCTCTGTCTCCTATGCAGATGGTGAACACTCGGTGTGCTTTCTCTCAGGAGCTTTCCCTTGCCTTCAACAGGTCTTGGATCGGGTGCATTAGAACCATCCTTTTGTCTCAGAGCATCTCTTCAGGGAAGCTGAACTGCCGGGTGCCAGTGACAGGGGTAAGGCCATTATTAGGCACCAGAGTTAACAGTCCATTAAGAAGCTCTAGTTGTGTATGTCATGCGTTACATTCAAAGATATTACTAAATTTAAATTTGCAAAGTTAAGCACACAAACGCTAGGAAGCATAGGAATTCATGCTGCCCCCATCCAACAGTGCAGCCAGCAGGAATAACAGGGAGTTGTCCTTTATTTTGGCTGGTACGGAAGGGGAATAACTGGTTGGACTCGATGATCTCGAAGGTCCCTTCCAATCATGAAGATTCTGTGATTCTGATTCTGTAACACACATTTTGCCAGTGGGCTGCACTGATGAGAGTACCTTCATCACTACATACTCACACTCTCTGCGTATCAAAAGCGTGCAAAGCCTTTAGGGACTGTAAGTTTTGCTCTCAAGCAAAATCTTAACTACACCCTTAGCTCCAGCTACACACAAGAGCAGTTACTCTAGTACTGTAATTAGAGGCGGTAAAGTAAACCCCAGGTTTTATTAGCTCAGGCCACTTCACATCCAATGACATTCTGCTTTGTAGTGGCAGAGCCACCCTATCCTGAGAGAGGGAGACAAACCCCACTTTTAAAAATACATTAAATTATTCAGCCAGCCAAAGACACTGAAGTTAATAGACAGCTCTCTCTCCAGCGCTACAAATTTTAGCCAATTAGTCATTACGCCACGTCTGTGAAGTGGGTTAATTTAACTCTTCTTATTTTGCATAGGAAGGAGGCAGAAAGGTTAGGGGACTGGCCCAAGGCCACAAAGAGCACTCAGAGCTGAGCCTAGAAAGCAGACTTCTTGTTTCCCACGCCTACATTTCAACAACTAGACTTGGCTTGCCTACATCAGAAAATAGACTGGCATAGCTATAGCTGTGTAATTATACCATAACAGTTTATCCTGGAATAACTCTATTTGCGGACATTCTCCTCCAGATGGAAAGTGACTTCCCAAAAGCTGTCCAGATGAATGCATTCAACAGCACAAACTTTGGGGTTTGCCTTCTCCCCGTCCCCCATCTTCATGTGGGGAGGGGGGGGTCAAAATTCTGCAGATATGTGTCTTGGCAGCATTTTGAAGCCTTTGATGACTTTTACAGGCCATTGAAAATCAGGGAGAAATGCTAAACGTGTCATTGAAATGCTACAAGTCTTGTTGTCAAGATTTTTATGGTGCTTTTTATCAAAATGTTGAAAACTGAAAGCTTCCAGCTGGCTCTCCTTACAGGTAATAATTTAATAGCTAACAGCTTTTCTCCCAAAGCTGCTGGAACCTGCTTGAGCCACGGAAGCTGATGGGAAAAGCCAGACCCATCCTCTACAATAATTATTTCTGATTTTTTTAATCCTGCTGCTCCGTAAGCTTTCAAAACCAAACGAAGCTGTGGAAACAAGGAGGAGTCACCAAAGGAAAAGTAAGAGACGGGGAATAAAGTGAAAGGGTTTACCTTTAAAAATAGTCTTGTTAACTCCGAGGACTGCAGAGATGAGCGCATCTTCACTACAGCAACCCGCGGGTGAATCACTGGTTTCAGTACAAAACTCGGCTCGGGGGCTGCAGCAAGAGCTCCACAGTGATTTACATCAACCACTCACCTGCCCCCAGATGATATTCGGCAGAGCAGCTGTCTTGATCTTGAGGACCAAGTGATGGTTTGGACACCAGGAGACCAGCATGCACATCCAACCATGGTCAGGGGTCCTCCTCATAACTTCAGCCAAGTCATTGTTTCTCTCCGTTTCAGTTCTCCGTTTCTAAAATACAGGGAACAATGCAATGAGAGTTTTTATTTTGCCGAGCAATGCCCCCAGGAGCAATCCTCCGCTTTGCCACGGACTGCTGCCACATTATAGAGGTCACTTCAGCATATCTGTGAAAGAGCCAGCTCTGGAGCTCCTGTCAGTCCAGTTGGCAGCCTCTTTCCCCTCCATTTCCATCAGCAAGACCTTCACACACCCGTGTCAGCCCTGGGACTGTGTCCAGCCACACAAGCTCAGCTGCCCTGGGCATCACAGGCTGTGCCGACAACCACCTACTCTTGGGACCTGTGATGTCCCTCCAGGCATTTGCTCAGTCTCCATGGGCCTCAGCTCACACAGGACCCTATGTGCTGGAGATACGAGTTCCCCCGTATCACAAGGACCCTGGGAGGAGAATTTAATTCCTTCTTGCTCGTCAATAACAAACTTTGATAGGTCTCAGTGAAAGGCTCAGCCTGTTTTCATCAAAATATTTAAACTATGTGTGCAAGGGTCTCTTCCAACCTAGACGACTCTATGATTCTATGATTTAACCCATATATCTGTCTGTATGCACATGCATGTATGTGAGAATTATTATTCAAAACCGCCATCATGCTTTTATGTAAATTCTGGTTTAAATTATCGAATTCACCTTTTCTATATGCCTGTGTAAGATCAAGGTATTTTTGGGAGTTCACTCCCAAAAAGCTTGTATTAGGTATTGACATAAATAATAGCCCATCACAAGCGAAAGCTCCAGATTTATTTATAATTAGCAAATTGAAAAAGACATCTCTTAACTGTTGCCTTGGACAGCTATGAACACCACAGAGCTGCAGACCCCTGGATCAGCTTTCTTGCCTTTAGACTGAGCCCTCTTTTCTCTACCCATAGAAATGGCACTTTGAAGACAAACTGGATCAAATCCCAACATACTTTGAAGAGGACAAACGTAGACCTTTCTTTACTTAACTGTGCACTGGGCAATCTAAAAACCATATAAGCACTAATCTATTCATTATTCCATCTCCTCCTCTTTACTACAATAAAGCACTGTTTTATGCTTATATGCATCAATAAAGAGACCTATAAAGAAAATAATGAACATCCTTGAATATCTTCAGAGCATACCCTATTAATTTTAAAAGGGACACAACATACTGTACCCCTTGTATTTCACCAGGATAAAAGCCTATAGATTAATCCCTATTAAAACAGTTGGTATTTTCAGGACATGCAGATGTAATTTATGGAGAGGCACAATGCTCATAATAGCTCAAAGGCCACAGAAACTGTAGATCTGTGTCTGTTACTGTAGTTGTACAGGCATTCATTGTACAGAGAGCAGTTGAAAAGGCAGAGTATGTAATCTGAATACTAAATTTGTGAATAGTTTCTCACTTGGGCTGGTGAGGCTTTTCAAGAGCAGCGGATGCTTTGTGGGGGACTTTGTAAAACATTCTGCTAATATATCACATGGTTGCTGCATTTTCTTCTCTTATCTTTACTGTTAGGGCTTTATTCATGAAGACACAATATTTGATTCTTAAATGGGCACCAGCTCCTTCTCTGTACTCTTCACCTGAATTTGGTGTGCTCGGTGTGAGACAATTTTCACAAACAAATACTTCTGCCTTATTCTATAAAGTGGACAACTTTAGATGTATATAACCCAGAAGTATACAAGAAATAAAGATCCTTTCCCCCACTCTCGTGTATTCCAATTGCTACATCCAAGTTACGTGGAAAAGAGTATTATATTTTCCGTTTTATTATCAATAGTAAAAGTGTACAGGTTTTCTCTTTTACTATGGAGATATAAATGTATATGGAGATATCATTTATGAGGAAGGGCAATTCTAAAGTGTCCTAACAAAATTTAATTATGACACAAGTTACTAACAGAGAAGCCTTGAGCCTGGGATCATTTTTATTCTTTGCTTGTACAGCACCTAGCACAATGAGGATTTATGCATGACCTAGCTTCCCACTTAGTGCCTCAACAAAAATAAGAATTAACTCTTGCTTTGCTTATGGCTGGAAATCACAGTATCAACATAATTAAATACATCCAATATGAACAGTGAGCAACACACAGAATTTTTAAGTTCACGAAGCAGTGGACACAGAAGTGTGCTGGATTTATTTAAACTACTGGAGTTGGTGGGGGGATTCAGGCAAATAGTTGTTACTTGAGCTGAAATTCAGTAAAATTATAGGTGTCAATTATGTGGAGTATTGCAAAGTACCAGGGAACATGCAGTGACAAACAACCAGGTTAATGGCTATGTAACAGCTGAAAATTTGGTGGGAATGGAGTTCTTCCATTTCTCTATGACAGAATTAACATGAAGGTTGAATCTCAAAAGGTCAAAAGTTGCCATTTGGGTTTGAAAGGGCTTCTACAATACAGAAGACTCCTACCAAATTAACCTGCAAACATGGGAACAGGTCTTGTGACACTTACCTTCTGGGTTCAACCTGGTATACTACAGTTACATTCATGGTTCTTATCCTAAGTGAAACACAGAATAGACAAGGCCACCTTATGCATACATTCCTGAACTTGAAAAGAGCTTCGACTACAAGTCTTTAAAACTTGGGAAATAATTGAAGGATAAGGACATATTTTCTTTGAACCCAACCTACCTGTCAGTGCGCATTACAGCCTAGTGGCTCCCTGGGGGCAAGGAACCTCACCAGCCAGGGTCCATCCCACAACCACTAGCAAGAGCATAGGGCAGGCCAGAGATGACAGCCAAGTCATCACACCAAGAACCCTGATCTTCAGGCAAGTCTGCAGTTATAAGGCAGGTCTGAGGTGAAGCCAAAAAGTCAATCTGCAGGTCAGGATCAGTAAGGACCACAGGGACACAACTCTGGCCAAGTAGGAGACCAGCACTCCCCAAGCGAAAGCAAAGCCTAAATGGGCTCCTGGCCCAATGGCAGGAGTGTGGGTGGAGGCCCCAGCTGAGGCTGATCAGGGTCATTAGGGTCTGTTAGTGCCTTCAGGATCCTCACACTGCCAACCCAGCTTCAACTCTGAACTTGTACGGATAGAGTTTTCAAAGGAGGAAACAAATAGATGACTTTATCACAAAGTTAGATAGTCTCATTGATTCTGCGCGCTTTTGCTCAGCAGGAGCTGTTAGACCTCTCACTCCTCCTTCTTTGCTGGAGATTGATGCTGGGTGTGAGGGAAGTAACTAGTGTGTTTTAAGTTCGTCTCCTGCTTTACCTTGCAGGATCTCGCAGATCTCCCTGGAAGTTAAACAGGCTGTTTTCCCTGCTTCTACCTGGGTGGTTGCTTGATTTCCCTCAGAGTCCCGGGCCTTTATTCAAAACACATGAAGGATGTCCTGTTTATTCATGTCACTCCTCACTCGCCACATTTCCAAAAACAACACCACCCCTATTCAGCGTGCATCACCACAAAAAAAAGTCAGCATTTTACTGGCGTGTACTTTACCCTCCTTAGTCCTTCTCCCTATTCGTGCTGATGCTTGTAGGGAGCCGGGGAGGGGCAGAAGTATTGGGTCATTTTGACTAGTTTCTGTGGTGGTCAGGGACTAAACAGCAAAAGCATCTTTGAGGCTGACAGCAGCTGCTGTAGGTGTGGGGCTCCGTAACGTGACCTGAACCAGGGGACAGGCACTGCTGTCCCAGGCCAGGGGAGCAGGGCAGGGATTAGTCCCCTCTGGGCTGCTCCGTGCAACACGTGGGCTCAGAGTGAGCAGTTCAGTGTGAAGCACCACCTCTACGGTGAGCGCAGGGGGTGAACATCTGCCATCCAAACCAGTCTTTCGATCGTTGCAGAAATGCCGTCAGAGTCTCACGAGTAATGAAGTCAGAACGTAAAATTGCCTGAGAAAACAAAAACGCCCAGCCCTCCACCTCCAGAGGTGGCACAGCTGAGCCAAAGGCTGACACGCTGTCATCTCAGAGGCGAAGGACAGCCTAGGGACTAAGCCTAAATCCAGACTGTGGATGACTCACTTTCAGTGCCTTGCTTTGGAGGAGGAGATTCATTTCCCCCTCCGTTTACAAGGGTTGTTCTGCTTAGCACCTGGTTCAGCCTCCTGTTCCTTGGCTGCTTCTGGAGTCCACGAAAAAGAGTGGTGCGTCCAGATTGCAACTCCAAGCACTAAAATTCCAGAGGAGTGTTTCTTTCTCCGTGACTACACAAGAGGAGGCTGGAGATACCAGCTGGCTAAATTAGTTACAGTGGGTGAATACCCCCGCTCATACTTCTGTTTTTCACCTAGAAAATTAATTGTTGAGAATAAATGTTGAGAACCATAAACACCTTAGCAAGAGGGGCAGGAAGCTGGATAGAGCTGTGATGGAGCCTGTGCAAGTATGCAAGAGAGAGGCATTTAAAAAATAAGGGGTTTGCATGCCTCCTTTGTGTCTGTTAGCAAAGTGTCATCATAGAGGTTTCCTTGTGTTTGATTGTGAAAATACAGTCGCCTTAAATTAACTGGCCACATAATCAGTTTTAAAGTGGAGCCAGGTTGACTTTGATTAACCATAAGCAACAATTTAGATCGTAAAAATAAAACATTAGCATCTTTTTACGCTCCTGCCAGTGTTACGTGAAACAATGTTTGACCACAGCCTTTTAAAGCTGCATGTTAATTTTTATTGCAAAGAATCCTTCTGTCTTGCTCCAGCAGCAGAGCTGATGGAGTGCTCCACAGCCTTTTTTTAGGAGACTGATTCATTTAGTGGTAGAGGATTTCTTCATTTTTCAAAGTTTTATTTATTATTCTTATTTTACTCCAGGAAAAGAATAACATTTCTCTACATCCAGACATTACCCACACATAACTGTGCAAGCAAAGAAAACATAACTTCATTCTTGTGGTTTGAAAATGCCTCCTTTTTCCTGTTTATTTGTTTGTTTTTAAGAGGGAGGCGTTTCTATTTTTTAGTTCTCCTTTGAGGATTTAAATCAATGAAGACATCATTTGGTCTCTATATAACAGAGACAATCTTTTACTCCCGGCTACTGCCAATACACTGTCATTTTTTTCTGAGATCTGGAAGAACAAATGCTACTTTCTGTTTATTAGCAACATGAGGGATTCTTCTAATTAAGATTTTGGGTGATGGAACAATTGCTAAAGAAGATGCCATTTTATCAGATATCTTTTCTTCACTGCAGAGGCCTGAGCTTATACCACTAATATAAATAGAAATTCTCCTGCTGACTTCAGCTGAAAAGACCCCATCTAACATCTACAAAAGTAAAAAATATTCAAATGTTACAGCATTATGAATGAGGACACAAATAGAAAAACTTTCGCATGTATTATTACCATCTTTGTCTTAAAAATTCTTCTCTGAATTGCTTTTGCTGGTTTATTGCATCCATACACTGCTGAAGAATGTTCTTCTCATACCAAAACTCTCCTCATGCAAAATACTCCCAGAGTTTCTTAGGAAGCCCTATAGAAGTACCAGCTCTCAGCTTACTCACTGCATTAGAAAGGCAAATGCTATTCGTAGTGGCTTGCTGCTGGTTTGGCTTTGTTGGGATGGTTTTTTAATTCAACAAGGGTATAATTTTACATTTGCTTCTGAAGTTTGGTTAAAAATAGCTATTGAAAATGTTCCTTAAAGTCTGAAGATGTTTTCCATGGAAATTGTATCCAAAGCGGCTATAGGTCTTTAGCATTGACTTGATATTTAAATGATTTCTACAGTATATTGAGCTGTCTTAATTGGCTAACAACAAAATCATGGCCCTCCAGCTAGGTTATCCTAGATAGCTCAGGCAAGGCTTTTGCACATATGACCTTTTGAAATAAAGTGTTTCTCTTGCTGTAGATGGTGGCTTCTTCTTCTGTAAGACAGAAGAGCTCTGTTGAAAACCCTCACTTAGTTGTCATCATCCTAAAATCAGATACCAAAAGAGGAAAAACTAAGACAACGACTTCTCTAAGAATTACTACCTGTGAATGCTCTTAAAGTAGACAGAGCTATGAAAAAAACAAAATGCCAAACTGTGGGGCAGAGATCATATTTCTCCACGGGAATGTTTTTTTCCACTGCCTCCTTTAAGAGGTAGTTTCTTACTTTAGATAAGGGAAGCTCCATCAGCTGCTTCATAGAGCAAAACTGACACCCACTGGCCACCCCCAGTACTTGAAACATTCTGAGCTCTTGAGCAATCCTTGCTTCAGGGCAGAGCAGGAGAAATGAGAGGTGGATCAACCTTCCAGCTCATCTCAGCCCTTCTTCCTTACAGCGCATCACCTCAGCTTTGTCAGTGGTAGCCCCAAAACCCCACTGCCACAAAGTGGGATGATGCATAACATATCGCTCAGGGCTCCCTCTCACTCCTTAGGGAATCAGTTCTATAAACTCCTTTTACATCACCAGTGACAGGGCTCCCATCCCTTTCTGTAGAAAGATGGACCAGCTTTACTGACCATTTTCCCCCTGAAATTCAAGAAGACATTTTATTTGATCAATCTTGGGCTTGCTGTGCCCATGGTCCACCACACTTCCCTGCATCAGCTGTTTGCAAGCGGCCATCCGTGTTCTGGTTGCCTCTCAGCCAGACGTACTCAATTCTGCTCCGGCTGAGATCCTGTCTCTTCTGCGTCCCACATTTCTCTCTCATTCCTCGTCACACTGTCATTTCCAATCACTGGGGCTTTATTTTCAAGATTCCCAAAGATAATGTTTCCTACCAAGTAC